CCAGCATTTAGGGAGTGAGCCAGCGGTATTCCACACCCAAGTGCCTGGGCTGAGCCCCAGCTGCATCCCCCTCTCCCTAGCACCTCCAGAAGAAGTAAAGAAAGATGAGTAATCGGAAGCTCCGCGGGGGGCGGGGGGGCGGCTTGCCCAGGGCTGCCGTGCTGGTCCAGGACAGAGCCAGATCCCAGCCGGGTCTCTCTGAGGTTCCGGCTCACACTGACTGCTGCTGAAGACAGATTTTTCCAGATGGACTTGAAATGACTGAACCCTTCCTCAGACTTAGCTCTGGCCCTGGGGTCAGCTGCCGGCACACCTGGTGCCCTCCGCTGTCCCTCTCCCTCACTCCTGACTCCCAGGGCTCCTTGCTGTCCTGGAGCCCACTTGCTGTGCAGGCTGCCCCTTGGCCTGGGACATCCATCCCCTGGGTCACTGCAGGGCCACCCCGGCAGAGTAGCCTAGTGTCTACCTCTTACAGCCCCTGTCCCCCAGGAGACTATCCCACGTGGGTCGGGAGTGTCCCAAAGGCACATGGTGTGTCCGTGTGGTTCTCTGCTCTACTGTCAGCTTCCAGGGTCAGCCTGGCACCCAGTGGGTGCTCAGTTAGTGTGACTGAGGCACAATGTCCTCAGTAACCCTGTCCTCAGGGGGGAGGGAGGGTTTTTTGTTTTGTTTTGTAGATTTTTTTTAAATAGCCATTTTTTGGGGTTGGCGCTGTGACACAGTGGGTTAAAGCCCCAGACTGCAGTGCCAGCATCCCATATGGGCACTGGTTCAAGTCCTGGCTGCTCCACTTCCCATCTAGCTCCCTGCTAATGCACCTGGGAAAGCAGCTGAGAATGGCCCAAGTCCTTGGGCCCCTGCACCTGTGTGGGAGACCAGGAAGAAGCTCCTGGCTCCTGGCTGCAGATTAGTGCAGCTCCAGCCATTGTGGCCATCTGGGGAGTGAACCAGCAGATGGAAGACCTCTCTCTCTCTGCCTCTCTGTAACTCAGATATATAAAAATCTTTTTTTAAAAATAGCCATTTATTTATTTGAAAGGCAGAGTAACAGAAAGGGGAGGAGAGAGATGGGGGGGGTCTTCTATCCACTGATTCACTCCCCAAATGGCTACAACAGCCAGGTCTTGGTCAGTCTGGAACCAGGAGCCAGGAGCTTCATCTAGGTCTCCCATGGGGATGCAGGGGCCCAAACACTTGGACCACCTGCTGCTGCCCTCCCAGGTGCATGAGCGGGGCTCTGGATCAGAAGCGGAGCAGCCGGGACTCGAACCAGCACTGTGACTTGGGATGCCGGCCGCTGGGTAGGCTGGTGCTGAGGACCACCGAGAAGAACCAGGAGCCTGGAGGCTGCTGTGGAAGGGGCGGGGCAGGTGCCCGCAGGAGCTAGTCTCCTCCGCCCGCCCTTCCCCGCGGTGGGGACGGACACTGAGTGATTCTGCACGAGGCCCCGAGCCCCTCCACGCGTGGCTCCCTACCGTGGCCGCTCCTCCCCCTGCCTCCCCGCAAGGCCTGGCTGGGCCTGCACCGCCTCTGCCTTCTCCCAACACCCCTGTCCCCTGTGGAGCCACGGAGGCCTGCAGCCCTCCCAGCACCTGTCAAAGAACTTTCTGGAATGTTCCAACTCGGGGACAGCCCTGAGCTTCCATTCCAGGAAGGCAGCTTTCTTCTGACACCTCAAATACAGCAGGAAACTCTGACTCACCACATCACATGGGGTCCTGCCCAGCCCCTCCCCTCCCGCGCCCAGAGAGACCGAGGCAAGCCAGGCGCGGACGGCACCCTGGCCCTGACTCACTGCACCTGCAGGGCCCCTTGCGTTGGGCGGAAAAAGGACAGCGTGCCCCCGGGGTCTAACCCAGAGCCCAGCCCGCGACCCGTCCCCAAGGAGAGCACGCCCCCTGAGCCGCCTCCTCAGGAGAACCCAGCGTTAAACTCCGTGAGCGAGCCTGCCCGGGAGGTGAAGCCTAAGATTTCAGAGGAAGCTCGCGCAGGTCCTCGGCTGCGGACACGGCTCTGCTGTTTTAATCCGGGACCTCCCCACCAGGGTGCCTCCCGCAGTGATCCTGTGCCCACGGCGCCGTGAGCCTGGGGCCGGCGCTGCTGGGTGTGCGCTCCGACCAGCCGCAGCTGTGGAAGGGCAGTGATACGAAGCGGATAAATAAGACCCTGCATTCAGGGCGCGGGAGGGGTCTTCAGGGAGTGCGTGGAAAGAACTGTGTGTGGATCGCAGTCTTTCGCACCAAAACAAGCTAATCCTTTAATTCCATTTTCCACGAATGTTTCTGAAGTACTCTTGTGTCTTCGGGACATTAGGACACACGTTAACCTTTTATTACCGCTGGATCCTGCATGCACTCGTACTTAGCTGCATTTTCAAGCTTTTCTGCAATAAACATGCACACACTTCAAAAAGTTCGTGCAAAAAGGAATTCAAGGGGCCCGGCACTGTGGCGCAGCGGGTTAATGCCCTGGCCTGAAGCGCCGGCATCCCATATGGGCGCCAGTTCTAGTCCCAGATGCTCCACTTCCAATCCAGCTCTCTGCTATGGCCTGGGATAACAGTGGAGGATGGCCCAAGTGCTTGGGCCCCTGCACCTGTGTGGGAAACCCAGAAGAAGCTCCTGGCTCCTGGCTTCGGATCGGCACAGTTCCGGTCATTGCAGCCAATTGGGGAGTGAACCATCGGATGGAAGACCTCTCTCTCTCTCTCTCCTCTCTCTCTCTCTCTCTCTCTCTCTCTCTGCCTCTCCTCTCTCTGTGTAATTCTGACCCTCAAGTAAAAAATAAATAAATCTTAAAAAAAAAAAAGGAATTCAAAGATAAAGTTATCGTGGTGCAAGAAAAAAAATGGAAATCCACACAGGAGTGTTTTCATGGACCACGTTTCCTCCCAACTTTCTGGGGTCCCCACGCCCCGCCCCCAGGACCCCCAGTTTTTCCCCAGGCCTGCCCACCTCCCGGCTCTCCAGACACTGCCCTTCTGCCCGGTCCCAGAACCCTCCTGGCTCCCTCCTGTCTCCCAGGGCTGGCTCCTGCGTTTCATCGGCTCCACACCTGCTCCTGGCCCCGCTCCGCCCCGGCCCTGCCCTGGTGTCTGAATGCCAGCCGAGCAGCTGTCAGTGGCCATATCTCCTGTTTAACGTCCACCTCTTCCCAAAGGAATGGTTTTCAATATTTATTTGTTATTGTTGCCAGAGGCAAAGAGTAAGCCGTTCAGAGAGAGAGAGAGAGAGAGAGGGAGCCCCGCCCACGGCTTTTCTCCCCAGATGCCTGCAGCAGCGGCTGGGGCTGGGCTGGGCCGAGGCTGGAAACTCACACTGGGTCTCCCACGTGGGTGGCAGGGACTCAATGACTTGAGCCTCCCAGGATCTGCATGAGCAGGAAGCTGGAGCCAGGAATTGAACCCACGACTCCCACACGGGAGGCTGGGGTCTGAACCCCTGGGCCAGACACCTGCTCTGGGGGGAGGTCTCATCGACTGCTGGAACCCTGGGATCTGGGACGGTGCCCTGCCAGGAGCGGCCATGACGGCTACTTGTGATGTGAGCCGACCCGTAAGGGGGTCGCCCACATCCAGGATCTCAGGGCATCTCCTTGTGGGAGGAGCAATGCTGTCCCTCCCCTCCCCAGTGACGGGAGCCTGAGAGTCTGAGAGGAAAAGGACCCGAGAGTCACCCTGGGCCAGTGCTGGGCTCTCTGCAGCTTGCAGCTCCATTGCCGGAGCTCCTTGGTGCCTGCGCCCGGCCCGGCAGCTCACATGTAGCAGGCAGCAGGCACTGACCGTCAGCCAGTCTCTGAGCAGGGCCGCAGCTTGGAGCGAGGACCCTCCGCACAGCGGGATGAGCTCACGGCAGTGGCAGTGCAGGGTGGCGTGGCGTGGCAGTGGTTCCCAGTGACCACCTGCCCGGGGAGACCCGGCACATGCACAGGGGGACAGGATCCAGTCCCTGTCCCCGCCTGATGGGTCCTGGAGCGTTATCAGGAGCTGCCCCCTCCCGTCATGTCAAACTTCCACCACGAGGTCACACTGTCCTCCCCGTCCCCCCCCACTGCTTACCAAGATGGTCCCACACAGTGCACCCGTACCCCCCCCCGGCTCCCACTTCCCTGCGACCCCTTACAGGAGCAGGCCTCGCGGCCAGGACGGTGCCACCGCCCCAAGGAGCTGCCCTGGCTGTCATTTTTATCAGCACCTCCCCTCCTGCAGCTGACAGGGCCCGGGTATTCAGATCACAACTGGACTGTCTAAAATAGCAAACGGCTTTCGTGTTTCCCACGCTTCCGGGAGCCGGAACACTGCGTTGTCCTTGGCTGCTTTCTTACTGGGTGTCGTCAGGTGTTGAGTGTCCTGCTCTGTACCCTGGGGAGCACCCTGGGAGGGAGGGACTGCTTCGGGTCCAGCACCTTCCAACCCCCAGCCACCGGCTGACGGGCAGACCTCAGACTGCACTTGCCATGAGGGATGGTCCCTACTTGTGTTCAAGTCTCCCTGTCCAACTGGACAGGGAGCTCCTGGGGCAGACCCCGAGGGGGACTCTCATCTTTGCACCTTGAAAGCCAGCAGGGTGCACACACAACCCTCACCACAAGGCTTAACTGGGGTTTGTTGAGTGACTGGATGACCTTCCTATTTGCTAAGACTTGTTAGTCTGCAGTGACAGAAGCAGCGTCCCGAGGCCCGAGCGCAGCTGGGGGGCCCTCACCCTGCAGGCAGAGCTGGCTGCCCCGGGCCGGGGCCATCTCTGAGTCTCAAGGATTTCCCAGAACAGGGGTTTATTCCACAGCCTCCTGCAGACACCGGAAGTTCCTCCTCTCCCAGACTCTTCCTGGGCCACTGAAAGCCGGTTGCCAGTTGAGCAACGCCCTCGCATCTTCCCCAGCCCCGCTTTGTGGAGTCTGTAAGTGGGCTGCCCCAGGTCACACGGCTGCCCCAGGTCACACGACTGCCCAGGTCACACGGCTGCCCCAGGTCACATGGCTGCCCCAGGTCACATGGCTGCCCAAGGTCACATGGCTGCCCCAGGACACATGGCTGCCCCAGGTCACATGACTGCCCAGGTAACACGGCTGCCCCAGGTCACATGGCTGCCACAGGTCACACGACTGCCTAGGTCACATGGCTGCCCCAGGTCATGCAGCTGCCCCAGGTCACGCGGCTTCCCCAGGTCACACGACTGCCCAGGTCATGCGGCTGCCCAGGTCACACAACTGCCCCAGGTCACATGGCTGCCCAAGGTCACATGACTACCCAGGTCACACAGCTGCCCCAGGTCACACGGCTGCCCCAGGTCATGTGGCTGCCCAGGTCACACGGCTGCCCCAGGTCACACGACTGCCCCAGGTCATGTGGCTGCCCAGGTCACACGGCTGCCCCAGGTCACACGACTGCCCAAGGTCACATGGCTGCCCCAGGTCACACGGCTGCCCCAGGTCACGCAACCAGTAGATGCAAAACAGGGTTTGAGCCTGGGCTGCCACTGGTGTGTATCCTCCGCCCCTGCACGGCCTCCCACACACCACTTGGTGCCCTCCCTGAACCAAACCCTGCCGGGCTGCCTGCATGGCCTGACTCAGGGCTCTGTGCAGCCACGGTGCTTGGGCGGCCTCCACCTTCTCCTGCGCGAGCCGGGCGGACCTGCCTCGAGCCAGCTGCACCTCTGCCCCAGATCCAGACAGCTGAAGGGCGAGTAGCGGGTGATGCAGCGCTTCGACGTGTGTGCTTCCCACATTAACGTCTGCACGCCCATAAAACGGCTCGCTCAGGGTCATTACCAACCCTCCATATATAATGCGCCAGATTGGTATCGGGAGAGTTCTGCCTGCCTGATTTTCTCTTCTCCTCTAACTACTCCACAACTAAATGGTTCACAAAGCCATTTCCTCCTCCAAATATTTATGTTCTCGGGCGTTTATTAGCCTCTCTATCATGATCAAGGTTTTACGAGCACTCTCTACCCACTGTGAATTAACTACATGATTCCGGATCCATCATATGCCAGTGTGGTGCTGGATTTGTCTCTATTATGCCACAGCAGTGGCCCCGGGGCCCCGGCAGATGCCACCTGAGCACATTTGTCTGGGGGCAGCCAAAGCGACAGATGTGTCAATCCAGAGACACCAGGCAGGCGTGGTGATTGCCACCAGCGGCGGGAGAGACAGGTCCACGGCTCATAGGGACGGTGAGGAGAGCGCAGGAGGGGCCCCCTTCCTCCTGGCTCCTCTCCCGGGGCCCCTCCAGTGGGCTCTGGGGGAAGCCAGTGCCATCACACAGCAGGTGCAGAGGTAGAAGAGAGACTGCCCCTCCCATGGGGCCACCTGGACTGCACCGGGGCCCGTGGCTCCAGGTGCACTCTGTGTCCGTGCCCCTCCTGGGTGACGATGGCTCTGCCCGTGTGTAACACCCACCACCAGCAGGAGCAGACGCCTGGTGGGAGCGTGGAGTGTTTCTTCCCACCCACCAGTCGCACGTCTGCACCCCTGCCCCATGCACCCAGCAAAGGGCTAAGGCCCGGAGCACCCGGCTTCTCCAGGGGGCAGCTCAGGGCTCAGGAGAGCGGCTTTCTGGCGTGATCGGCCTTTGCAATCCCAAGCCGGCCACGCTGCTTGGCTGCCCATGTGTGCACCCATGAAAACGTCACTAATGTGGGTAACACGCCCCCACGGAAAGAAAACATTTAGGCACCGGGTAAACCCATGACTGAGCCTAAGGACCAATGTGGTCCCTGAGACTTCAGTCTCATGATTTCAGGTTCGTCTGCAGCGCGAGCCCTGGAGGCAACAGCCCAGCCCACTGCGGGGAGCACCGTGCCCCTGAACTTCAGCAAATCTGCTTCCTGGATGTCTTAGCCGCTTCCAGAGACCCCACCTTTGGTCACCTGAGTCCTTGTCGCCACCAACAGAATCGTGAGTGCCTGGGCACTTTGGTGGCAACCACTGAAAACAGAAGCTGGGCGGTGGTGGTTGCTGGCGCTGTGGTGCAGAGGGTTAAAGCCCCGGCCTGCAGCGCCGGCATCCCACATGGACGCTGGTTCAAGTCCATGGGTGGCTGCTCCACCTCCAATCCAGCTCCCTTTTAATGTACCTGGGAAAGCAGTGGAAGGTGGCCCAAGTCCTTGACCCCTGCACCCACATGGGAGACCCAGAAGAAGCTCCTGGTTCCCGGCTTTGGATCGGCTCAGCTCCAGCCGTGTGGTCATTTGGGGAGTGAACCAGCAGCTGGAAGACCTCTCTTTCTCTCTCTCTTTCTCTCTCTCTCTGTTTCTACCTCCTCTTTCTGTAACTCTCTTTCAAATAAATAAAATAAATCTTTAAAAAAGAAAAGAAAACAGACGTGGGAGTGGCGGTTTAGCCCAGTGGCTAAGAGGCCCGCCTGCCACCTCGGGGTACCTGGCTGAGCTCCCCAACTCTGCTTCCTCCAGTGCAGACCCTGGGGGCAGTGGTGATGCAACAAGCGGCTCAGCCCTGCCGGGCACATGGGAGACCTGGAGTGAATTCCTGGCTCTCTCAGCTTTGGCTCTGTCTCAGCCTCGGCTGTTGTGGGTATTCGGGAAGTAAAGCTGCAGGTGGGTGGGGGCCGTGTCTGTCTCTCTGCCTCTCAACAGAACGAAAATAGAAGTGCAAGTACAGTTCGGCCATCCCACTGGCAGGATTTTCGTCTGTGGAGACTGTCTTGTGAATTTCGCGCCACTCATGCAAGACATGGGTGCACTGTCTACAGATGAGAGAAAGAGAGAGAGAGAGAGAGAGAGAGAGAGAGGAGCTTCGATGCTCTTCAGCGGGGACCTGGTTGGGTTCATTCCCACACAGGCGCAGGATGAAAGATGCTTCCAGAAAGAATGAGGGGCCGAGCTGTGTGTGCCTCTGGGAAGGAGGTCTGGGCCGGGAAGCTTAGTATCTCCCTGCCTGACAAGGGTGAGGTGTTTTTACACACAACAGTGCCGGGCGGCACGCAGGCATTCCGGCCACACACACCGCGCACCTGCTACGCGGCAGGCCTGAGTTGAAGATGACCCTGCGGGCTCACTCCCGGGAAGGTCACTGCCCCAGCGATGACGGAACGTGCAGGGTGCACGTGGCCAGGCTCTGCCTGACTTTGAACTTGACACAAGCAGTGTCTGGGCCCTGACTTCGGTCCCGTTGGCTAGTGATGGAATTCGCCCGGCGCCAACCCTCGAGGGTCTCAGTGGTGGCAGATGCATATGGATGCGGGCAGGCCAGGGCTCCTCCTTTGTCTTCAGGAGTCACTGGGCCATTCTGGACTCTTCCCTCTTCCAGATAAAACTGGCGGGACGAGCTCAGCTGATGGTGCCACCGCCTCCACCAACAACCAGCTTCGGGAGATGAACTGCAATTTCACTGGCTCTCAGAGCCGGCCTGGGCCAGGGCACAGCCCCAGGATTCGTCTTGTCTAACCATGAACGTGGTGCGGCCTCGGCCTCCCAAGAAGACCCTAATGCTCTCAGGAAAAGTCTCCCACATTTTCCCCTGCACTTACGTCCAGCTCCTCCCTGCTCTACGTTGCTGTTTTTATCTTGACTCTACATTTTCCAACTCTTTGTGCTACAGGACGCCTAAAGGACTTGACCTTTGGTTAGCATCCTTGCTACCCCTCCCACAGCCAGCGGCGTCTCCACAGGCTCTCCCGGGCTGTCCTCGTGCAGACAGTCACAGCCACAGTCGGCAGCTGCTGGCCCTTCCGTCACAAGTCCTCTTGTCGCCTTTGCTGTGCTGTCGAACGGTGTCTCGCGGGGGCCGTGGAGCTGGGGCCCCTGGTCCTATGCCTGATTTTAAAGGGTGCGCTTCCAACGTCCCATCACTAACATCTACGTCTGCTGCAGCTTTGGATTTCTAAAGATGTATTGTTTATTCATCTATTTGAAAGGCAGAATGGGAGAGAGCGAGCGAGAGAATGTGCGAGAGCCAGAGAGAAATCTTCCATCCGCTGGTTCACTCCCCCAGATAGCTGTAGTGGCCAGGGCTGGGCCGTGCCAAAGCCCAGAGCCCTGGACCCCATCCTGGTTTCTCGCATGTCCTTGGGCACCTTTGCCGCCTTCCCAGATGCCTCGGCAGGAAGCTGGACCCGAACCGGGGCCACTGGGCCTTGGCCTGGCGTCTGATTGAGGGTGACGGAGCTGGAAGCGTTGTGCCTCAGAGCCAGTCCTCGCTACAGTTCTGGAAGACTGCCTTATCCGGTTAAGGAAATTCTCTTCAGTTTATAGCTAAGGTGTTTTTTTTTTTTTTAATCGCAAATGGATATTTAATTTCGTGAAATGCTTTGCCTCCATTTATTGAAATAGCCACATGTCTTTGTGGGGAACACAGGTAACAGCCTCTCATGGTCAATCTCCCTTGGACAGCTTTCCATCCTGAACTGGTTTGGATCTGCTGATGTTTCGTTTCCACGCGTGACATCGGCCCGCGATGTTTCTTCCTTCTGGGACATGTGGGTTTCTTATTAAGGTTCTATTAGACTTCTCGAGAAATGATTCATTTATTTGAAAGGCAGAGTGACACAGAGACAGAGAGAATCTCCCATCTCTGGTTCTCTCCCCACTCGGCCGGAACAGCCAGGTCTGCGCCAGGCTGCAAGCAGGAGCCAGCAGGTGCATCCTGGTCTTCCACGCGGGGGGCAGGGACCCAAGGGTTACACCTTCCTCTGCTGCTTTCCCAGCGCATGAGCAGACCGGCACTCCTAGACGGGATGCTGGGACCACATAAAGTGGCCAAGCCACTGCGCCACAGTGCCAGGCACCTGCTCTTAGTCATCAAACGTGACAGGGGTGGGGTTTGGCACAGAGGTGAAGACGCTGCCTGGGACACGGAGGGCCTGGGTTCAAGCCCCGGCTCTGCTTCGAGTTCCAGCTTCCTGCTAACGCGCAGCCCAGGAGGCAGCAGGTGACGGCTCAAGTCGTTAGGTCCCTGCTACCACGTGGGAGACGTGGAGTTCCTGGCTCCTGGCTTTGGCCTGGCCTAGCCCTGGCTCTCATGGGGATTTGGAGAGTGAAAAATAAGATGAAAGATTTGTGCTGCTTTCTGTCTTCCTAGCTCCGCCTTTCAAATAAAAAGAATCTTTTTAAATTACAGAAAATGAAGTGAATGCGCCACGGAGTTTGCTCCTTGCCTGCTCCCTGCTGTGTCTGTTTTCCATGGGAACAGGTTCTGTAGACGGCATCCAGTGCAGGGAAGGGTTTTACCTGTGAGATTCCATTCATTTAGCAATCCTGGGACTGCTTGGATTCTCTTTTTCTCCTTAAATTAGTATTGGTAAAACTTCGTTTCTGTGAATTTATCCGTTTGCCTGCTTCCAAATTTATTGTCATAAGTTGTTCAAAATAATTCTACCCAGGGCTGGCGCTGTAGCATAGCAGGTAAAACCGCCGCCTGCAGGGCCAGCATCCCACATGGGCACAGGTTCAAGTCCTGGCTGCTCCACTTCCGATCCAGCCCTCTGCTGTGGCCTGGGAAAGCAGTGGACGATGGCCCAAGT